GGGGGGGGGGGGGGGGGGGGGGGGGGGGGGGGGGGGGGGGAGGAAGACAGGGAAACGCATCTGGTTTCACCGGAGGATAGAGAGAAAAAATAATAAATCTTTTAAATGAGTGTTGAGCAATACTTGTACTTTCTGAAGGCCTTTCAAAGATTTTCTTTCATCCATGTCCTTGTACGTAATCTTATCATTTGTTGAGGGTATAAACATGCTTCTGCATCTGTTCTTTGCGTGCCTAAATGTAACAGTGTGTTGCCGCCACTTTGGGTCAGTCACAGGACACAGAACAATCTAGTTTGTGGGCTACTCTTGGCACTGTTGGTAGTTATGTAGTTGATCCTTGAACTCTAGAAAAACTGTCTTGGCATACAAAAATCTGCTTTGAGCGAGTCTATATGTTAATTCAAAATGCTTACTGCACAGCTGATCTCTGTGTTTAACTTGCACTCCTTTATTCTTGGGTCCTTTTTGTGATGAAGTTGGTTATTGTTATTGTTGGTTATTTTCTTAGTTAACTCAGTCAGCATTCCATCTGGGTGTAATATCATCTCCAGAATCTACAGGACTGCAAGGAAATGTATCCACCTAGACTGAATAACCATAACTCGTCACTTTGCAGAAGCTGAATACATCTGCGCAGCCATGTTTCAAGCTTTAACATTGGCCTGTGATGCATTCAGACATAAAAGAGCTCCTAAAATCGAGATGAACTGATGTTGTGCCAACACAAAAACTTAGCCAAAACATAAATTTAAGTTGCATTTTTAGACACCTTCTTTGAGAAAAACATAAAGAAATGATAGTTGGCAGAAGATTTTTGAAAAGTGCTGTAATTTGGGTTTAAAGGAGGACCTTACTTTACCCAATAATGGTCAATCAGGTCATCTGGACAGTTTATTTTTTTTGTGGAAAGCCGTTTCGCCCTCTATCTGGAGGGCTTCATCAGTCTGAGGAGTCCAAAGTAAACTGTTTTACCCACTAAGCAGCTTATCACCAGCAAACTGGTTGGTCCACTAAAGGAGTGTACTGCTTAGTGGGGAAAACAGTTAACTGGGGACTCCTCAGACTGATGAAGCCCTCTGGATAGAGGATGAAACGTCTTTCCACAAAAAGAATAAAAATGTCCAGATGACCTGATTGACCATTATTGGATTTTGTACCTGGATGATTGAGCATGAACTTTGAGACCTTACTTTACCTTGCTATTTCCAAGTCTGGACACTCTGCTGCTTCTCCCATCCTGCTGCCTTACACTAGAAGATCCTTCTGAGGGTCGAAACATTTCTAATGATGTAAACTTGCTCTGACCAGGTCTGTAGATTTCAGCTGTGGGCCTAGTGGCTCTGCGATGTGTACGATTGTTGCTTTCTGTTTCAACAGGCTCCTCAGCAATGAGGTCATCATCCATCTCTGGTTTAATGTCAATAACAGCCTCTGAGGGGAGGGGATCCATAAGTGGTCTAATAGATAAAGTAAGTTGAGAAGAGCCCTTTCCAAAAGCCCCTTTCCTAAAAAAAATAAAATAAAAAACATTACGTTTTTTAAGAGAAAACAACATGAAGAACAAAAACAACAGTATAAAAACACTTCATCATACCTGCTTTCATGAGCAGAACTGGACACAGGGGCTTCAGTCTTTTCAGAACGGGAGCTGGACACTGTCAGCACCTTCAGCTCCTCTGCTGTGTCATTTTCAACTATGGATAAGTGACTTTGTCCAGTCACAGTAACAGTGTCAGACTCCAGCTGCCTAAGAGATGCAGGCTCTGAAATATGCAAACAAGGCAGAAGATTCAACATTAAATACACATTGTTTACAAAACATTACATAATAAACTGTTGCTTTAATGCTTAAAGGCACAAAAACATCATGTATAAATGCATTTAGCAAAGCGTGGCTCACTCTCAGCAACAGATCTCAATTGCTCCAGAACGCCATGTAGCCTGAAATAAACAAAACAAATTATATGTATGGTTAGAGCATCTCAATCCATTATGTAAAAATAAAACTGCTACAACCAAAGAAACCAGGATCGTACCATGTTGTAAACTTAACGGTGTTGTTTCCAAGGAAGAGAGAGAGATCCTCAGACATCTGCAGGGAGGTTTTCTTGTTCGCCACCATCACCATGATGTAGTCAGGAAGCTCTTCATCTGCAGGAACACAATAATTTTCATTCAACCTTTATTTATACAGGTTAGTCTCATTGAGCCTCGAGGACTCGTTTACAACAGAGACCAATGTACAGTATGAACATCACCACCAATATGAAGACAAAAAACATTTGAGAGTGAAAATGTGGTACTCTTGTCAGGAAGCAGCCTTGTACTAATCCCCCCTTAAGATCTTTATACTTTGCTTCTTAAGAGCCAATAAAATACTAAAAATATAATAAAATTACAGTTTTATGTCTAATATCGTCATCTCACTTTTAGCACAGACTTGTATATGGGTGCCTTAAAGATACAATGAAATATTCAACATGTAAAGGTGTAAAACAAAATGTTGCACCAGACGTTAAGTTTGTTTTATTGGCTTACCAATGTATGCACCGAGCTCTTGAAGTTTGCTTTTGATAGCAGCCTGAAACAAAAACAAAACTCCAGGTTAAATTTTGTTATCGTGGAAAGCACATGATTAGCTTCACGAACATAAACACCCAGTGGTTAACTACAACTTAGCACTGCGAGTTATCTAAACAATAATACAAAAAGTAAAAAACATTCTGGAAACTTGTCCATAAAGTAAGCTAAAAAAAACACTCGTTTTTTATGACAGGAAGCATTCTCCTCTGCTCGTCTGGCACGCTCAAGGTAGCAAGCTAATGAGCTAGCATCGGCTGTGCTTTTTTGTTGTTGTTGTTAATTTAAACAAAGTTGTCTGCTCAAATTCACACTGAGCTGTTACTCACTCTAATTTTCTTGCTGATTTCAGTCCCAATTTCCATGCTTCTATAACATAAAAAGTTAACGTAGATAAGTGTTAAAACAGGAACTCTTTTAGCTCAATTGCTAACTAGCCAACCAGGGTAAATGTTCTTCTTCTACGGATTTTTATTGGTGGTTGGGAAACTCATTTGAAGTGCATCACCGCCACCAAATGGACTGGAGTGGATCTGGAGAATAGTCAAGTCAACTTCTTTTTAGAGCACATTTAAAACAGAAGCTGCTACCAAAGTGCTTAACAGTAACATCAATGAGAGTAAAATTATTGGGGGGGAAAATTACACACACTAATGATAATACTGAAAAAATAATTAAAATCATTATAGAAAAACATAGGAACACAGAACAAAAAATACTAAATCAACTCACACTGTGTTTAATTTGTGTTGTCAGAGAAAACAAATGTGTTTTAGCAAAGATTTTAACACAAGAAAAGAGGGGACCTAATATTGGGGGGCAGGTTGTTCCAGAGTTTGGGGCCCATGACTGAAAATGCAAGGGGAGCATAAGGTTCCAGTAGCTCAGAGAGATAAGTTGCTCCTCACAGTTCCAGGACCTTGTCTTAAGCGCAGAGGTGACAGGGCCTTCTCTGTAGCAGGACCAAGACTCTGGAACGAGTTACCTCTGCTTGTCAGACAGGCCCCCTCCCTCTCGGTTTTCAAGTCCCGTTTAAAAACTCACTACTATTCAGTAGCTTTCAACACCAGATGATCTGTGTTTTGATCATGTATGCTCCACACTTGTTAGTCGTCATTATCTGCATCGTTTTTATGTCTATATTCTGATTTACCTCATTTTGTATTTTGCTTGGTGTGTTACCTGTTGTTTTGTCTGTACAGCACTTTGGTTGGCCTTGTAGCTGTTTTAAGTGCTTTATAAATAAAGTGGTATGGTATGGTATAAGAGATAAGGGGGTGCAAGGCCATTTAAGCACTTACAGTGCCTTGCGAAAGTATTCGGCCCCCTTGAACTTTTCAACCTTTTGCCACATTTCAGGCTTCAAACATAAAGATATAAAATTTAAATTTTTTGTGAAGAATCAACAACAAGTGGGACACAATCGTGAGGTGGAATGAAATTTATTGTATGTGTCAAACTTTTTTAACAAATAAAAAACTGAAAAGTGGGGCGTGCAATATTATTGGGCCCCTTTACTTTCAGTGCAGCAAACTCACTCCAGAAGTTCAGTGAGGATCTATGAATGGTCCAGTGTTGTCCCAAATGACTGATGATGATAAATAGAATCCACCTGTGTGTAATCAAGTCTCCGTATAAATGCACCTGCTCTGTGATGGTCTCAGGGTTCTGTTCAAAGCGCTGAGAGCATCATGAAGACCAAGGAACACACCAGGCAGGCCCGAGATATGGTTGTGGAGAAGTTTAAAGCTGAATTTGGATACAAAAAGATTTCCCAAGCTTTAAACATCCCAAGGAGCACTGTGCAAGCAATCATATTGAAATGGAAGGAGTATCAGACCACTGCAAATCTACCAAGACCCGGCCGTCCCTCTAAACTTTCAACTCAAACAAGGAGAAGACTGATCAGAGATGCAGCCAAGAGGCCCATGATCACTCTGGATGAACTGCAGAGATCTACAGCTGAGGTGGGAGAGTCTGTCCATAGGACAACAATCAGTCGTACACTGCACAAATCTGGCCTTTATGGAAGAGTGGCAAGAAGAAAGACATTTCTCAAAGATATCCATAAAAAGTGTTGTTTAAAGTTTGTCACAAGCACCTGGGAGACACCAAACATGTGGAAGAAGGTGCTCTGGTCACATGAAACCAAAATCAAACTGTTTGGCCACAATGCAAAACGATATGTTTGACGTAAAAGCAACAAAGCTCATCACCCTGAACACACCATCTCCACTGTCAAACATGGTGGTGGCAGCATCATGGGTTGGGCCTGCTTTTCGTCAGCAGGGACAGGGAAGATGGTCAGAATTGATGGGAAGATGGATGGGGCCAAATACAGGACCATTCTGGAAGAAAACCTGTTTGAGTCTGCAAGAGACCTGAGACTGGGACGGAGATTTATCTTCCAACAAGACAATGATCCAAAACATAAAGCTACATCTACAATGGAATGGTTCACAAATAAACATATCCAGGTGTTAGAATGGCCAAGTCAAAGTCCAGACCTGAATCCAATCGAGAATCTGTGGAAAGAGCTGAAGACTGCTGTTCACAAACGCTCTCCATCCAACCTCACTGAGCTCGAGCTGTTTTGCAGGAAAGAATGGGCAAGAATTTCAGTCTCTCCATGTTCAAAACTGATAGAGACAAACCCCAAGAGACTTGCAGCTGGAACTGCAGCAAAAGGCGGCGCTACAAAGTATTAACGCAAGGGGGCCGAATAATATTTCACGTCCCACTTTTCAGTTTTTTATTTGTTAAAATAGTTTGACACATCCAATAAATTTCATTCCACTTCACGATTGTGTCCCACTTGTTGTTGATTCTTCACAAAAAAAAATTTTTTTATATCTTTATGTTTGAAGCCTGAAATGTGGCAAAAGGTTGAAAAGTTCAAGGGGGGCGAATACTTTCACAAGGCACTGTATGTCATCAGGATAATTTTAAAACCTATTCTAGTATGGACAGGGAGCCAGTGAAGGGAGGACAGAACTGGAAAAGGCAGGAAAAAAAACCTCTGGATTTAAAAGCAAAATAACTTTACTGTATATGATGGTTTTATAAGAGCCCTGTTAATGTAAAGTTTTGATGTTTTTCCTTTCTTAATGACTGAAACAGATTGTATTTTTGGATTTTATTGCGGTGGAGCAGCACTTGTTTCACTGTTTCTGGCTGGTTACAATATGAGCATTTTCTTGTTGGATGCTTGCCTGTTTTATTTAAAGTGTGGAGTGTCCTATTCTGAATCAAGCGATTACATTTTCTACTTTTCTATTCCATATTGTTTTTCTTCCTAACCCAACATATTTGTATGCTGTATTTCCTGTAAATCCCAGTGCTCTTGACATACTGGTTGTGTATATTTTCTGAAGAATGGTTTAATTTCAGATTTGCGCAATGGAACTTGTAGTTCTATGGACTTCCTCTTGATTACTTGTTTTGACAGGTTGTTTGCTATTTAATTTCCCTCCACATTAACATGTGCTGGAACCCAAAGGAATTGTATTTTTGTGCCATTAATATACATAGTAATAAATATGTCATCGACGATATCTTTTCAGATTGAAGATTTACCAGATGCAGAAATTCTGTTAGATGCAATAACAATGTTTCTTATTTCATTGCTAACAGTTCTGTTGTGTAAACTGAAAACTGATCTCTTCTAGAGATGTACTGTGAGATGATCTGACAGTTTTTCAGATGTACTGGCTGGGATGTAAACCGCTGAACCTGCCCTCAAAATTGCCTTAAAATTTTCCTCCTAAAATGTCACAAATGTTCAGTTTAAATACTTGACATGTTTACTGTGTATTACGTGAATAAAATAGAGGTTTATGAGTTTTGAAAATCATTGCCTTGGGATTGTAGATAGAAACATTTCATATATATTATAATTTGCAATGATTAAAAAAATAAAATTCATTAAAAATTGTATAATTATGTAATAATTTAAACTGACACTAAACACCTAAACTTGTATCTTGTAATTTTATTTTAAATGATAGTCATGCTTTAAAATCTGGGGGTAAACAGTGAAAAACAAAATAATTGCGTGAACAGCAGATGAAATAAATGTCGAGATGATTTGTAACCTGAGAAACGCTTGAAAGTTAATTGTGTTCAACGTCACAATCTAAAAGAAATCAGATTGTTTGAAACTGCAGTTCTCTTCGCCACCACTTGATGCCGCTGTATCATTTGTCTTCGTGACGTCACATTTTACCCAGTTAAAAGTCCAATGCAAAAGCTGTTCTTCCGCCGGGTGTGGTGGCGCGCGCCTGTAATCCAAGCTACTGGGAG